GGTAGGTAAAATGATAGATAAATGACAGGAAATGATAGGGTAAACTGGTAAATAAATGATAGGACATGAAAGGTAAATGGTATGTAAACTGATAGATAAATGCTAGGACATGATAGGTCAATGCTAGGAACATGGCAGGTAACATGATAAATAAATGATAGGATATGATAGGTAAATGATAGGTAAATGGTAGGAATGATGATGGGTAAATGATAGGAAATGATAGGTCAATGCTAGGTAAATGGTAGGTAAACTGATAGATAAATGATAGGAAATGATAGGTAAATGCAAGGTAAATGGTAGGTAAAATGGTAGATAAATGATAGGTAACATGATAGGTAACATGATAGATAAATGATAGGAAATGATAGGTAAACTGGTCGATAAATGGTAGGAAATGATCGGTAAATGCTCGGTAAATGGTAGGTAAAATGATACATAAATGATAAGATTTGATAGGTAAATGCTAGGTAAAATGATAGATAAATGATAGTAAATGATAGGTCAATGCTAGGTAAATGCTAGGTAAATGCTAGGTGAAATGATGATAGGTAAATGCCAGGTAAAATGACAGATAAATGACAGGAAATGCTAGGTAAATGATCGGTAAATGCTAGGTAAATGGTAGGTAAACTGATAGATAAATGATAGGACATGATAGGTAATTGCAGGGTAAATGGTAGGTTAAATGATAGATGATTGATAGGATATGATAGGAAATGATAGGTAAATGCCAGGTACAATGATAGATAAATGATAGGACAAGATAGGTAAATGCTAGGTAAATGGTAGGTAAAATGATAGATAAATGATAGGAAATGATAGGGTAAACTGGTAAATAAATGATAGGAAATGATAGGTAAATGCTAGGTAAATGGTAGGTAAAATGATAGATAAATTATAGGACATGATAGGTAAATGCTAGGTAAATGGCAGGTAAAATGGTAGATAAATGATAGGAAATGATGGGTAAATGCTAGGTAAATGATCGGTAAATGCTAGGTAAATGGTAGGTAAAATGGTAGATAAATGCTAGGTAAATGGTAGGTAAACTGGTAGATAAATGATAGGAAATGATAGGTAAATGCTAGGTAAATGGTAGGTAAAATGATAGATAAACGATAGGACATGATAGGTAATTGCTAGGTAAATGGTAGGTAAAATGATAGATAAATGATAGGAAATGATGGGTATATGCAAGGTAAATGGTAGCTAAAATTATAGACAAATGGTAGATGAATGATAGGAAATGATAGGTAAATGCTAGGTAAATGGTAGGTAAGATGATAGATAAATGATAGGAAATAATAGGTCAATGCTAGGTAAATGGTAGGAAAAATGATGGATAAATGATAGGAAATTATAGGTAAGTGCCAGGTAGAATGATAGATAAATGATGATAGGTAAATGCTAGGTAAATGGCAGGTAAAATGATTGATAAATGGTGCGAAATGATAGGACATGATAGGTAAATGCTAGGTAAATGATAGGTAAATGCTAGGTAAATGGTCGGTAACATGATAGATAAATGATAGGTAAATGCTAGGTAAAATGATAGATAAATGATGGGAAATGATAGGTAAAATGGTAGGTAAAATGATAGATAAATGATAGGTAAATGGTAGGTAGCATGATAGATACATGATAGGAACTGATAGGTAAATGCTAGCTAAATGATAGGTAAATGCTAGTTAAATGGTCGGTAACATGATAGATAAATGATGGGAAATGATAGGTCAATGCTAGGTAAATGGTAGGTAAAATGATAGAGAAATGATAGGAAATGATAGGTAAACTGGTAGATAAATGATAGGATATGCTAGGTAAATGCTAGGTAAATAATAGGTAAAATGATGAATACATGATAGGAAATGATAAGTAAAATTTAAGATACATGATAGGAAATGATAGGTAAATGGTAGGTAAACTGATAGACAAATGATGGGACATGATAGGTGAATGCTTGGTAAATGGTTGGTAAAATGATAGATACTTGATAGGACATGATAGGTAAATGCAAGGTAAATGGTAGGTAAATGGTAGGTAAAATGATAGATAAACGATAGGACATGATAGGTAATTGCTAGGTAAATGGTAGGTAAAATGATCGATAAATGCTAGGAAATGAAAGGCAAATGCTAGGTAAATGGTAGGTAAAATGATAGATACATGATAGGAATTGATAGGTAAATGCTAGGTAAATGGTAGGTAAAATGATAGATAAATGATAAGACATGATGGGTAAATTCTAGGTGAATGGTCGGTAACATGATAGATCAATCATGGGACATGATAGGTCAATGAAGGGTAAAATGATAGGTACATGATGGGACATGATAGGTAAATGCTAGGTAAATGGTGGGTAAAATGATAGAGAAATGATAGGACATGATAAGTAAATGCTAGGTAAATGGTGGCTAAAATGATAGATAAAATATAGGTAAATGCTAGGTAAATGGTAGGTAAAATGATAAATAAATGATAGGTAAATGCTAGGTAAATGGTAGGTAAACTGATAGATAAATGATAGGACATGATAGGTAATTGCAGGGTCAATGGTAGGTTAAATGATAGATGATTGATAGGATATGATAGGAAATGATAGGTAAATGCCAGATACAATGGTAGATAAATGATAGGACAAGATAGGTAAATGCTAGGTAAATGGTAGGTAAGATGATAGATAAATGATAGGAAATGATAGGTCAATGCTAGGTAAATGGTAGGTAAAATGATAGATAAATGATAGGACACGATAGGTAATTGGCAGGTAAAATGATAGAGAAATGATAGGAAATGATAGATAAATGGTCGGTAACATGATAGATAAATGATTGGAATTGATAGGTAAATGGTAGGTAAACTGATAGAGAAATGATAGGACATGTTAGGTAAATGATAGGTAAATGCTAGGTAGATGGTACGTAAAATGATAGAGAAATGATAGGTTAATGCTAGGTAAATGGTAGGTAAAAATGATAGGATATAATACGAACTGGTAGGTAAATCCTAGGTAAATGAAAGGTAAACTGATAGTTAAATGATAGGTAAATGCTAGGTAAAATGATAGATAAATGATGGGAAATGATAGGTAAAATGGTAGGTAAAATGATAGATAAATGATAGGTAAATGGTAGGTATGATGATAGACAAATGATAGATAAAGGATAGGAAATGATAGGAAAATGCTAGGTGAAATGATGATAGGTAAATGCTAGGTAAATGGTAGGTAAAATGATAGATACATGATAGGAAATGATAGGTAAACGCTAGGTAAATGGTAGGTAAACTGATAGATAAATGATAGGAAATGATAGGTAAATGCAAAGTAAATGGTAGGTAAAATGATAGATAAATGATAGGACATGATAGGTAAATGCTAGGTAAATGGTAGGTAAAATGATAGATAAATGCTAGGAAATGAAAGGTAAATGCTAGGTAAATGGTGGGTAAAATGATAGATACATGATAAGAATTGATAGGTAAATGCTAGGTAAATGGTAGGTAAAATGATAGATAAATGACAAGACATGATGGGTAAATTCTAGGTGAATGGTAGGACAATGATGATCTGAACATGATAGGTAAATGGTAGGTAAAATGATGAGAGGTAAATGGTAGGTAAATGGTAGGTAAAATGATGGATAAATGATAGGAAATGATAGGTAAGTGCCAGGTAAAATGATGGATAAATGATATGACATCATAGGTAAATGCTAGGTAAAATGATGATAGGTAAATGCTAGGGAAATGGTAGGTAAAATGATAGGTTAAATGACAGAGAAATAATTGGACATGATAGGTAAATGATAGGTCAATGCTAGGTAAATGGTAGGTAAAATGATAGAGAAATGATAGAAAATGATAGGTAAATGCTAGGTAAATGGTATGTAAACTGGAAGATAAAAGATAGGAAATGATAGGTAAATGCTAGGTAAATGGTAGGTAAAATTATAGATACATGATAGGACATGATAGGTAAATGCTCAGTAAATGGTAGTAAAATGATAGATAAATGATAGGACATGATATGGAAATGCTAGGGAAATGGTAGGTAAAATGATAGAGAAATGATAGGTAAATGCTAGGTAAATGGCAGGTATGATGATAGGTAAACGATAGGAAATGATAGGTAAATGCAAGGTAAATGGTAGGTATGATGATAGATAAATGATTGGAAATGATAGGTAAATGCTAGGTAAATGGTAGGTCACATGATAGATATATGGTAGGACATCATAGGTAAATGCTAGGTAAATGATGATAGGTAAATGCTAGGGAAATGGTAGGTAAAATGATAGGTAAAATGATAAGAGACATGCTAGGACATGATAGGTAAATGCTAGGTAAATGGTCATTAAAATGACAGACAAACGATAGGATATGACAGGTAAATGCCAAGCATCATAGAACCAGCAATTGGAGGAACCGAATATCCCGGCAAGAAAAAATATATCCTCTAAATGATCCCACAGATAAACCCAATTGGACGTATGTTTCCCTTTAAGTACCATGTAGGTCTTAAAAGATGGAACGACATCTTTTATTTTTGGTGTTGGAATCCATTTGGGTGATTTTGGGTATATGTATATGATTGTATATGCATTATATGCATGTATGATAAAGATGATGATAAGATCACACACAATGATTGGGTATCCCTCGTCTCTAGATAATGCTTCTTTGTATACTATTCATTATAGCAGCTACGATAGTCATGTATTTTGGATCGGCATAGCCATATCCCCAAGTCCACAAGTGAAATGGTTCATGATACTGTAGCCATTTGGTATAAATCATGCTAAATCCTAACCTACCCCAAAATCTCGAGCACAAATAGCTCAATAGCTATCATGCACGATGCAAAATTCAATACTAACCCCTAAATCGATGCTGACAACTCAAATTTTCATAGATTTATCAGCCTACTAGTTCTATATACCGCTATTTCAGGAGGATTTTGACCACGTTTGACTTTAGCTTTTGGGCGTTCCGAGCAGGAACCGCCCGTGGCGTCGCTGCCCGCAGAGACGCCTCCCTCGACGCAGACTGCAGCGACATCGGCGGAGAAGTGGGAGGCGAGGCCATAGTGGAAGGGCCAGAACTGAGGGATCGATTGAATGATTTATGTCATATAATGTATGGTGTATATATATATAATGATCATTATAAGTTCATGTAATGTTTGGTATTTATATATTTATAATGATCCTATATTCACATAGAGCCCACTATTTGCACTATATTTATGACATATGTTTATGTATTTGTACATATGATATGGTATTTATATGTCATGTATGATATGCCATATTATTTATATACTGGCAGTCTCACTTGACGAGATGGCGCTGGGGAGAGAGAGAGAGAGGCATATATATTGTATATATATAGTACTAAACATGAGTTGAACAAATAGAAGAACTATATATATATATGTATACATAGTTACATATGTGTGTGTGCGCAGATATACATACTAGGACTGTTTCATCACTTGTCATGGTGAGATCCCCAATCAAAAAGGAGGTTTATAGCTGGGAAAACCATCTATGTCAATAATGATTAATAATGATTAGTAGTGATAGACTTGGATATAATCTGGGGTAAACATACAAAGAGATTTGTAAAACCTATTGACAACCTAGGAAAATTATCTACACATGCGGGTTTTTTCCCCACCTGCCAGGTGAGGGTTGTTAGATTTTATCTAAGTTGCCTGGTCCTCCTCCTCCTGCCTCCTCCTCCTGCCTCCTCCTGCCTCCTCCTCCTCCTCTCCTCCTCCTCGCGTTGTCCTCCTCCTCTCGTTGTCCTCCTCCTCTCGTTGTCCTCCTCCTCTCGTTGTCCTCCTCGTCCTCCTGCTCAACTGCGACTCGCGATCCACAGTGTTCGCTGTCGGACCTCAACCACGACCATCCACGCCCAGTGTTCCCTGCCGGACCTCAACCACGACCATCCACGCCCAGTGTTCCCTGCCGGACCTCAACCACGACCATCCACGCCCAGTGTTCCCTGCCGGACCTCAACCACGACCATCCACGCCCAGTGTTCCCTGCCGGACCTCAACCACGAGTATCCATGCCAAGTGTTCCCTGCCGGACCTCATGTAGGAAGATATGGGACAAAGAATGTGCAGAAGAAAGTTAGAAAGAATGTCAGGCAAGAATGTCAGAAAGAACGGCCAGATAGAATGCCAGAAGATATGCCAGATGGAATGTCAGATAGAATGTCAGAAGATATGCCAGATAAAATGCCATGAGATATGCCAGATAGAATGCCAGAAGGTGTGCCAGATAGAATGCCAGAAGCTATGCCAGATAGAATGCTAGAAGATATGCCAGATAGAATGCCAGAAGGTATGCCAGAGAGAATGCCAGATAAAATGTCAGATAGATTGCCAGAAGATATGCCAGATAGAAAGCCAGAAGGTATGCCAGGGAGAATGCCAGATAAAATGTCAGATAGATTGCCAGAAGATATGCCAGATAGAATGCCAGATAGAATGCCAGAAAGAATGCCAGAAGATATGCCAGAACATATGCCAGAAGATGTGCCAGATAAAATGTCAGAAGATATGCCAGAACATATGCCAGGTAGAATGCCAGAAGGTATGCCAGATAGAATGCCAGATCGAATGCCAGAAGATATGTCAAATAGAATGCCAGAAGATTTGCCAGTAACAAATCGATAAATGTCATGGTGGGGATCACACGAAGTAAAGTAATTCCATGTTTTTGTATGTTTACGCGGTGGTAATTTTGATTGAAAGGACAACTGTTTTGTGGAAAGAAGCAAACGCAAACAATCTGGATGTAACTGTGGATATGAGCTAAACACGGACCAAAGAAACTACCAGACAAATTTAGTTGTTTTCTTGAAATTGATAATATCTACATCGTGATGTTGTCCCATATTCCAGGTTTCCCAACTACTTGTCTATCTATTTTTGGGGTTACTAATAGTTAGATCCCATTTTAAAATCCCATTTTAAAATCCCATTTTAAAATCCCATTTTAAATCCCAGTAAGTCACAATTTTGAACGATTACTATGTATATAATATACAGAACACATTATACAGAACATACATACACATATATATATATGTATATGTATACATGATATTTATGTGGTCAAACCCAATACCATAAACCATCCCAACTACCGTAGTTGTCTCGTTGTCTCAGGCTCCGCACCGCAAGAGCCGCAAGAACCGCGAGATGTCGCGCTGGGAGCGTGCCTCGGTAGAACCTGGGGACGATTTACTAACGGAGGATAGACAGACCCTTTGGTTATTTAACATAGCCATGGAAAATCCATGATAAATGGAGGTTTCTAGCTGGGAAAATCATATATTTCCATGGGCCATTTTGCAAATTCCATAGCTATGTGAAATAACCAGAGGGTATAAGTTGTAAAATTAGATGACCAATGTAAGACTGAGATGAAGATATTTCTAACTTATCCAATTCAACTGGAGTTCTCTGAGGTAGATGATATAAGGATTATATACGATATTCTGAGGGTGGTTATCAGTTATAAACATCAATTATGAGTGGGCAAATCCTCCTTGATATTGAAGTATGAGATTACAAATTATGTAAGGATATATATATATATAAAATAAGAATGATAATGATAGTAATATTAATAATAATAGTAATAAATAGTAATAAAACAAATAATAATAATGTTAATAAAAATAACAATAGTAATAATAATGATAATAATGATAATGATAGTAATAATAACAATAATAATAACAATAATAATCATAGTAATATATATATATATATATATGTATGTGTGCATCGGGATTACCTAGCCAGGCATCTTGGGAATGTCGTAATTTAAGTCCAAACCCAGGGTTGAGGTCGTTTTTGGGACTCTACAGGTGATATACGGTAATCCCCCAATCAACCAAGCAAAAAAATGAAAGTTACCGAGGATGGCATTTTAAATGTGTTGTTCCGGTCCAGGGATTAACTAACCAGAAGTGCTGGGAAAGAGGGATTAACGAATCCAAATCAACCAAGCAGACATTGGGGGTCAAGAGGCCAATCTACCAGAAATTGTGTTTCTTGAAGGGGTGCAAGGGATATAAACACCACATCAGTTTGATCATCCAAAAGTAAAAAAACATGAAACTGGAACCACCTATCAATTTAGGTAACAACGGGTTCTCGATAGTTTACCCTTAAATAATCCATTGATAGTTGCAGTTAGTGAGGCAAGCGGGAGAATTATTGGATATCAAATCAACTATCAGGATATGTGGGTCGAAACCTTTGATTAATTATATTCCGAAAAAATACCAGCCATTCACCAGCTATTTTAGGGTACCTAGGGTCTAGGGTCCCAGAATTTTGACACATAACCTATGATCAACCAGTTCTGGGGGTTCCCGGAATGGGCTTAGGAGACAATTTGCAAGAGACCCTGGCATTTGACACGAAAAACCTGGTTTCCTCTAGATTGTCCTTCAGTCCTTCAAAACCATGCGTTTGAGAAAACTGTACTAACTGTACCACATCTAACATTTGAGGTGTCATTGTTTGCATTTACCACCAAACAATTTGGGATTGGGTTGGCTACGTAAGTGATGATAAAAACTGAGAAACATTACAAGACTTGGTTTTGAGTTCAGGACTGATAGGTATGATAGGTATTGATGGATAACATATTAGAACGATTCACGGAGATTTCACCAAGCAATGACCAAAAAAAACATGAGAAAAACATAGACGCCGCAGGGTTGGCTAGTTGTGACTTGGTTGACAACCCCATCTAGCCATAGAGATCCCCCAGAGGCTGGATGAACCGTTCGGAGGTTTCTGTGGCTTGGCCGTGGATGACCATGACTTTGTATTGAAACCTATGGAAAAACGGGGGATCCCCCATGACTTAAGAAACCCCTATGTCACATGACCCGGTCGTGGTTTATGCCCGTAGATGGATCCAGATGGAGAACAAAAATGCGTTTCGTTGTTTCGTTGTTTGAGCCGAAGATGGATCAGGTCCTATCACCTATGGACCAATTAGGATAGGGGGATTGCATGATTTTCACATTCTAGGGCCCCATTCTTCATGGAAACATCGGAGGGTTGCGGAGCTGGGGAGTTGAAATCGGTTTTGCGTCACGGGATGCCTGGGATGAGACTTAAATTCATAGCGTTTCACATGTTGCACTGCGTTTGTGCCATATGTCTTTGTTGGTATATATAAAGACATGCATGTATGTGAACTGGCAAGGATTCTCAACAAACATGGATCGTTGCCGACGTTGCAACGTAGAAATGTTGATGATCCCAGTGAAGCCACCGTTAAGGTGAGCGAAGATGGAAGTCAGAACGGGGACCAGGAGGTGGCCGTGGAGGGGGAAGATTTGGGATGTGATGAAGGCGAAAAACATCTCAAAATATGGGGGTTTCTATGGGGGTACCTCAAAATTGATGCTTTATAAGGGAAAATCCTTCTATAAATGGATGATAACTGGGGATACCCCCATTTATGGAAACCCCAATGAGAAGACCCAGAGTTGCACAACTTTGCAGGCAATGGTGAGGTTTTGATGTTAACCATGGTTCACCCATGTACTTCTTGGATGGCAGTGGGACCATTGGGACCCAAGAGTCATTCCCAGTGACTAAAAAGGTCATGTTTGGGCACACGTACCTCACAAAATCAGCACAAGAATAGATTCTGACCAATGGAAGACCGGCATGCAACCCTCCCACAATAATTACCAACAGAAGTGCTATAAATTCCTGCCAAAGTTAAATATTCCAAAAATGTTTCGAAGAGAAAACATACAGGAAAATGCCTTATATATCCTTATAATAAGGAAAATCATGGTTTCATGCAGCTTTTGACTTGAATCAATCCCTTATGGAGCCTTGAAAATCTTGAAACGCACCAGGTGTTGTGGCTCCAAGATGAGTCTGAAGGTGGCTGCTTGGCAATCCATGGGTTGTGAGGGAAATTCACAGGAAACCCGAGAATCTGAGAAGAAGCTGGTTGATGGCTTATGGGGATGCCATTGCCCCGATCATTGCCCCGGTCATTGCCCCGGCCCCTTCCCCAGCTTTGAAACAAGTCCTGGTTCGATATCACGCCTCGACCAAGCCCGAAAACAGCATGGAAGAGTGACCACACAAAGCATCACCAACCCATACGTCCCATAGCTAATTCAAGGAACATGTTCCAGAACATGGTAAAATGGATGTTGGGAAAATGAACTCCGCATACCACTATATGATCTTATTATTATTATTATTGTTTTTGTTATTATTATTATTATTTACATTGTAAAAAACCCGTTTTGTTTCCTCATAAAGTTAAGCCCAACAGGGTCCACCTTACATCCGAGGGCTGCTCAGCACGGTGTGGTATTTGATCGAGGAGGTCTTGATTCAACGGCCTCAGTTGGAGGCTGGAAAGCGAGTCACTGCACCTTGGCACCAAGGCGGAGTGCGGGGTGAGTATAACATTGATCTATATATATATATATATATCACGAAAGGTAGCGTCAGCTACCTGAGTTCTCCGTGCTTCAGCACAAGCTTAGGGGGTATTGGGGGGCCAGCCCACGGAATTCATGGAATTCTCGCCGTTATGTATTGGATATCAATTATAAGGGAAAATGGTCATGGGTTCAATTCCCACGGGTGACGCGGTCACGGGCCCCCACATTAGAGGCACACTTTCCATGAGGGAGATGTCCCTGTAGTCCAGCATAATTGGTATGCTTCAGCCTCAATAACAGTTGCTGCAAGGGGTCTTAAAAAGGGGTTTTAAATAAACCCCTTTTCGTGCATCATTTCACGCTGCACAAGACACCGTATCATGCAGTCATGCTCTGGATAAAATCATCTTAGACTGCGCAAAAACGTTTTTGGTGTATCATCTTAGGGGCGCAGCATTTTGACACCACTCCTCTCCCACTACACTACCTTTCGTCCGCCTCCGCCTGCTCTCAAGTATATATGTATATAACTGGGAAAATTTGCGAAATCTGCCGTTTTTCTCTATGTCATGTGTTGATGAATGGAAACTTTATAAAGATATCATGGATCATATCCAAAATATCTAAAGATGTCCTCGGATGGCTAGACATGGCTGGACATATTGGTGGACATGGCTGGATTCCATGGGGATGTAATGGGATATGTTACTAGACTTACCAGCAATGAAGGTATAGGAACGCGATTTTCTGTGATAGCAGGAAATCACGGGCTAGACCCCATTCAACTGGGGAAGTTATAGTAACGGCACTAGCCGACCTCAGCACGCTGGCGAATTGTAGCAATCGGCTCCGCTCCGACCCAAGAACCCATAGGTACCCGGCATTACCTGAGCCCAAAGCGGCCCCTCTATCATCTCGAAATAGAATAAATATCCAACTCGTGTTGCGTTCCATTTGTCATTCATTTAGTTTCAGTTTCTATTGCTTCATAAAGTGGCATAGCTGTAGCAGTTTTAATAAGGATGTGACCGGAGACTATATTATACCACGTAAACTAAACTTATTATCATTTGGCGAGACTATGTCATTGCATTTCAACGGCATTCCTTATATATACTGGTGTGTTTGGTGTGTTGCGCTACTTTAGAGTTGGGATTCGCCGTATGTTGATAGTTTACCTTGATGTTTGCACAAGAGTGCCTCACTAAGTGCTGCACTTTTGAGATAAACAAGGATCTTCTGGATTTTGACAGATTGATATGGAAAATCAGTATCAAATGTATATCAAAACAACTGGTCGATCATCGAACTAAATGGGCTGTTGTCCGTGGAGAACTGTTAAACTACTGGAGGAAACTTTCAGAAGGTTAAACGTCCCGTGTTATTTTCCAAGTTTTTGGTATTGGTTGTCCAGGTGTTCAAACTGGTTACAAGATGTTGCATCCAGGAAAGACATGTGCCAGAATGGTTGAATATGCGAATGTCTAGTCTTTTCAACTACCCCAAAATGGTCGGTTTGTTTCTTTGTCCTGGGACCCCACTTGGAAACACTAGACAGTAGATGAGAACGGACCCTCCAATAATTGAAAAAAGGATTTGTAGTTTGGTGGTCAATAAGTGCTTGACACGATTTTACATATTTATATGTGCCCCCACAACTTCACATAGACCCTGCCAAATAGAGGGTTGGAAGATTGTTTCCACTAACAACTGGTTGTGTTCAGGGTCCATGTTAATTTGGGGTTAACAATGATGAACTGGCCATGTGTAGAAGTCACCTTTGGCCATGTTCTTAACTCCCTGGTCACCTCAATACTGGTCAATAAATTGCTTGAATCCACATGATGGCTTGCTCAAACACCATAACAACCTTCGAGAAGATCATTCTTAATACGATTGTTTGTTGAGAACCATTCACAACTAAGAAACATTAACAAACTATAACAACAATTTGATATAATGATATGATATAAGGCACATCAACCATCTTCCTATGGTGTGTACAATCACAGTTTCAGTTGTTAAACCTATTTCCGTGATATTGTATTAATATATCAATTATCCAAAAAATATGAACGTACTGAATAATCAATTTCCTTCATATCAAACCATTGTCATATTATTTGCACGATTATAATATTTCTTTCAATGTATTTCACCATTATGGAATCTCCCAAAAAGATCGAATTGCATATATAGATGATTTGTTTCCCTTAATTTCCAGATTTCCTGAACTTTTGTATCTTTTTTCAGGTGTACTGTAAGGATCTATGTATAAGGTATAATACCACTGCCATCATCAAGCCAACAAAAGTCAGGGGTCCAACAGCCTCGCTTTGGTGGCTCCTTGGATGTCGAACAGCTGTGTCTCCTTCGGTGATGCCTGGGAAATTCTTATAAACGGATCTTTTTCGTGGGAGAACAACCGGAAAGTCTCTTTCAAATGGAGGTTCTAATATGTTCTAATGGGAAATGATGTTAATTAATTATAACTACCGGAAGTATGGTTCGTGCAAGATACATCCAACTCGGTTGGGGGGGTGGAAAACCATTGTGTCCCAAGGGAAATCATCTATAGATTATACTATAAATGTTTATTTTTCTACATGCTAATTAGCAGTGTTGTACATCTTACCCATTGCACTGTGGGAATCGCATGGTTTTGGGCACCGGGCTAGAGAAATATCCAGAGGATACAGATACACTTTATGGAAAATCGGTTGTAACCAGCTTTTTCAGCTGTAAAGTAAGGGTAAGTCATTTTTTTGTGTCCTTAAATCTATATACAGCTGTCTCATCTATATAACTTTAAATATGTACTATTTATACTGCTTAAATACCATACGGACCATACGCATAAGGGCAAATCATTATCCAAATAGATGTAGGCAGTACACTCAGTAAACTTATTTGTTTGTTCATCTACGATCTGATTTAATACACTACCTCCATGTATCAATGCACACATTTGGAAGTGAGATTTGATGCAGCAATAAAAGTGTGGTTTTGGCAACATGGATTCGGTGATCTAACCAGGGAGGTGAACGCATGGAGCCAAGACCAGCCAACAGATCCTAAGCATCCCAACTGTGTGGAATCTCAAGTTATCCAGGTGGTCCTGCTCCTCAAACAGACCTTAGATGTTGGTCCAAGGTTTCACAGCCATTTTGAGGGTGAGAGGTGCAAAGACTTCCTGCCCCATCCAGGAATCCATGACCCTACATGAGTGGCCCAACTCCGGCCGTCATGTTTTGTTGTTTCATTTAGGGTGGGTTGAGTGGGTTATGTTCCTCAACGACAAGTCACAAATGATTTAGATGAGTCGAAAGCGCCCCGGAATTGATTTAAATGCCAAATATAAAACCCAGGAAACTTCCAGACTTCGGGATAAAAGACCATGACCATGATTTCCTGTCAAATTTCACATACATCAATCCATTTTACAGAGAGTCGTCACCAAAAAAAGAGCCCTTCCAAGTATAGCAACCCCCAACAAGAAAGGAAAGTATGTCTAGGACTAGTAACCCCCAAGAAAGACACATATTTCTAGGATGTCGAATTTTGTATCTTTTTGAGGGATGCCAAAAACAGGAGGGCGGTGTATCCACGACTAATTTTTTGAACCTACGACAAGAAAAAAAGAAACCACGACTATTGACTATTCTAGAAAAAGGAACCACGACTATTCTAGAAAAAGACTATCCGACTATTTTCATCAGGAGCTTCCCGTCCACTGTATTATACAGTGCCAGAGGAGGTTCCGGAGCTTCCCGTCCACTGTATAATACAGTGGACGGGAAGAGTGGACGGGAAGCTCCGGAACCTCCTCTGGCATTGTATAATACTGTGGACGGGAAGCTCCGGAACCTCCTCTGGCCACTCTATAATACAGTGGACGGGAAGCTCCGGAACCTCCTCTGGCATTGTATAATACTGTGGACGGGAAGCTCCGGAACCTCCTCTGGCCACTCTATAATACAGTGGACGGGAAGCTCCGGAACCTCCTCTGGCATTGTATAATACTGTGGACGGGAAGCTCCGGAACCTCCTCTGGCACTGTATAGTACAGTGGACGGGAAGCTCCGGACTCTATAATACAGTGGATGGGAAGCTCCGGAACCTCCTCTGGCACTGTATAATACAGTGGACGGGAAGCTCCGGAACATCCTCCGGCACTGTATAATACAGAGGAACGAAAGATCCGAAAGGTCAAGCTGACAACAGTCAAGCTTTGCCTTGTTGAAATTAGTCGTGCGTACGGGTCTTAAATTAGTCGTGCGTACGGGTCTTAAATTAGTCGTGCGTATGGGCGCAAAATAGTCGAGGATACGTCGAAACCTTGTCGTGGGGTGCAGTCTGTTCGATTAGTCGTGGATACGCCGCCCTCTCGCCGAAAACACATCTGAAATTCCGCAGGCTTCCAGCAGCTTTCGCCTAGGCTACAGCTGGGTCCGTGGGCAGCGCAGTGTGATGAGAATCTCTTCACACTGCGCCACGGACCCAGCTGTAGCCTAAGCGATCCTTGGTCAATCGTGCCTTGCGTACTATGAGCAAGAAGCTTGGCGCTGGGAAGGGATATGCCGGAGGACCAGAGGTGTTTCCCATTTGGTGGTGGAAATGCCATTTGATCATCAACTTATGTTTATTGTCATTATTGATAAAGATAGGCCATAGATTAGATTAGGTTGGATAAGATTAAATGAGATTGGATCAAATTAGATTGCTAAGACAGATAAGATAGACATGAGAAGATAATATAGGATGGTATATAGATGGATAGGTAGACAGACAGACGGGTAGATAGACAGAGTTGTGTGAGATCATCTTCAGCACATAGCATGAATTTTTGTGGTGTTTGCCGATCAGATCGCCACACGAAGATTATTGTTGATATGAGGGATTCATCATGTATTGTATATATATATGTGTGCATATGCATGTAGATATTCTTGTGGATATATATATATATATATAGACAGGCACAGGTATAGTTTTAGATATGCCTCATTTCAGCTTCGTGAGATAGGATGATAGACGTAGATATAGTAAGACACAACTGGGTGAAGAGACCTTTAGAGAGACATTGGCATATCAAAGATCCCTGGTTGACATGTCCCCTGATGTCATAAGTTCAAGATGATTTAACCAGGCCTCCCAAAGGTGGCGCCCAATAATTTACCAATGGTCAATAAGCCCTGATTAGCAG